TGTATCGGGTTTGGTGTACAAACAGTGCACAGAGGAGCTACAGAAACATGTAGTAGTTATTAATTAATCTGACTGGCCACCCTTTACATGCATCGACACCAGTGCAGCCCCTTGCACTGTTTAAATCCAGCTGCCTTTGGCCTTAACACCAGCTTAGAAAGTCCTGGGGTTCAAGGGGGTTGCCTCTATGTGACTGTGTGTTGAGCAGGGCAGTGGCTGCTGTTAATAATCAAGGAAAGAATTCTGGAGACTGACTCCAGCTGTATGAGTTGTATTTGGGTGTGTGGTGAATAGGAAAGTGAAACCAGGGTGGAGGGTCAGGGCCAGCTAATGCCTACTTTGATTTTTAACAAGGATTTCCTCCCTCCATGCAGCTCGCTTTATTAACAGCATTATATAGCATCCTGTGACCAAGAAACGCTCCCTGTCATCACAGACCCATACCAGTGCTACACCCACCGTCTGTAACAGGAAGGAGTGGAGAGCTTATGTGAGAGATACACACTAGGATTACTGTAATTCACTTCAATGGTTTCATTTTTTTATTGTTTTAATAGTAGGGGTTTCAGAAGATGAGGACATTGATTACTAAAGCTCTGAAGTTCAAATTGTGAGTATGACTTGTTTTGTTTACAAGATCCAGATGTTGCAATAATATTTTATTTTATTTCATATAAACACTCCTACTGACTTCTGTATTATCTTTTATATAAATTGTACAAAAATGATTTATTATTTAGTAAGGGGCCATTCTTTCTTTTTTTCTTTCTTTTTTTTTTATATCATGATAAATATCATGCTGTGAGGTTTTTGGTATCGTTACATCCCCAGCAAAAAGATTATATCATTCATCCTTTTCATTAGAATACATCCATTGTGTCAGTAAATTATTATGTGTCACTTTATAGAATTGGTGTTGAAACGCTCTTGTCTGAAGTGGTGCTTACAATATCTGTTGCATTATGGTCAGTATGTAAACACAGCCAGTGCTTGGCATCACGATGGCAGACAGCTCAGTGTGAGCACTAAGCATCACGAGGCTGAGAGCCCATCTGTGTTCTCTCCAGTGAACAGGATGCTCTGACCGATGTGACAGACACTGCTCACCCTGCTCATTTACACTTGATTTAAATATTTATATGTAAATTTTCACTTAGTGCCAAGAAGTTATTATGTATTTATAGAATACTTAAATGTTTTGAAAATGACAAGCTTGGTTTCAAAAAGATTTACAGCACATAGCTGACCTCTGAATGAGTGAAGCGTACAGAATGAGCTCCAGAAGACCGCTGCTCATCACAAGGAGATTTTCTGTGTTAACTAATAAACAGACTGTTTTGAAGGTGAGTGTGTGGCTTCAGGTAGTGAGGGAGGCACAACATCAGAGAGGCCCTTCAGTTAAGATCAAACAGCTCTTTAATGTGAGGGTCACAGTGTGCAAGGTTTCAAGCACAGCTAATGCTAGTGCTCATGGTAATCAGGTTTTTGATCAGACAGCTGTGATTTGATTTAGAAACGGAAGGAAGGCTAATTTGGACCCCTCTGATTGAAACCATCACAGCCTCTGTGACTTCTCTGCCATGTTAGCAGTGAATAATGTTACGACCCAGAAAAGGGAAGCAGCACAAGTAACCCTGTGTTGGAGGCTAGCAAAGATTGGGGGGTTTGAAAATAACAAAAACAGGCTATAAAAGAGAACAAAAGGTCCAAACAGATCTAAGAAACAGAATTTCAAATATTAACATGGCGGAAACTACAAAACAAGTGTCATAAAACAAGTAAATAGCAACAAGTAATCACTATATGGAAAAAGTACAATGTACACAAGTAATCACGAACATTAACAAGAGACGCAGTACAGCAAAAGAACAGAAAACCAAGGCAAAGTGGTGAGCTGCTCATATTCAATCACAACAGAATGGGAACTAAGCTGTGGTGGTCCAATCAGTAGGGAGGGAGGCAGGCCAAGAAACAGGTGCAAGCAGCTGAGGAACCAATCTCAGATGTGCATCTGGACGGACTGGTTTGGATACTTAGAAAGTGTTAGAAACATGAGAAGGGGGGCAAGGGGCCCGGGCCCCAACATTTGTCAACTTGCCTCACTACACAAAGCATACCCGCTGCATTGAATCAAAAATATAGGGGTTTTTCATTGTTTTCACTCCAGCAGCATCCCCTCATCACCTGGATAGCCTCTTGCCAAACACTGTGCACTAAGCGTCTGTATCTAACAGAAGATAATGATGCTCCATTCAGCACTGCTCCATTCCCAACATCTCATAGAGACAGTGTGGATGTTGCTGCTTCACTTCAGTACTGGGACATTGTCACATCTTCCCACTAGCATGCTAGTTTATGCACTGCTGTGCGCTGCCACCCACTCATCTCCCATCAGACAGAAAACCCCGGCTGGCAACAAGCAGTTCCTGGCCATTCTTGCCACTACTGACAGTGGGTACAGTGAACCAGGACCCCTGATCTTTCTGTAGAGCTTAGTAAAAATGATTTTATCTCAGAACTGACTGTTGTAATTATGAGGTGCCTGTTTTCCACTCACTGAAGTCCCTGGCTTATCCCTAAACCAACAAGATTGTCATGTCTGTAATTTTTCTTGAATAACTTTTGAACTAATAATGATGTCAGCGTTATTCTGAATACCAGCAGAAGGTTTCAAGGTCAAGCAGTCATATTATGAGCATCAGACTATCATGGGGATATTGCTTTTTATGGCATTACGGTGAAACTGAGTTGCCCCTAGTTAATCTCCTGTTTTACTTATTTTTGTTTTAGTGGCACAATGTCCTCTTTTGCTGGAACTAATTGGGCTTTAGTCGGTACATTAGATTATGTGAGCCTGTATTATTCTTACTTCCTTACTCTTTATTTGCCCAGTTTCTGCTGCAGAGATCATTCGTTTTATATAATCTGCTGTTTGTGTGCTTTCATGAATGTACCTATATGTGTGTGCATAGCCTGACACTCATGCCAGCCAGGGTACCCTGTCGTTGAGCGTCTGATTGCACCCAAACTTCCGGACGGGGGGGTTGCAGACGAATGGAGGTCTGGATCTGCTTGAGCACAAATGAGCTGAGCAGATGTTTGCCAGATGTGACAAAGAAGGAAGCGGGTGGAGGGATACAGAGAGAAGAAAATAGAAGATTGAGCAAAGAGACTCACCATCCACACACTGACGACTTTGTTCACCTCCACTCAGGACTTAAGAGCAGCCCCCCTCCTTCTTCTTTTGCACACACACACACACACACACACACACACACACACACACACACACACACACTTACTTCTCCTGCCATCCCTCCTTCCTCTCTGCCTCCCGCCACTCTCTCTTTGAAGTGAGGACATTGCTCAGGAAACGAGCTGGAATCGATTGCTCCATGTATTAGGCCAGGAATGTGTGACACCCTCCTCTTCTTCCTTCCTCCTCCATCCTCCTAACACATCCCTCATTCATTCCCCCCCTTTCTGCTTCTCTTCATGGTCTCCATGCACCACCTGCCCCCTTCCACTTTTTACACAAGAGGCTCCTATTGTTTTGGTTTAAAGCCCAACTTTGCTTCATTTGCTGCAGATTATTAGACTGTAGATTCTGATCACAGCTGTTGAAAGGGTCACTGTTGGACACTGAGCAAAGGAATTTTAAAAGCAATTTTAAAATTGATCAATTAAAGTCCTTTATGAAAACGTCACATGTTCACTGGTTCCAGCCTCTTAAATGTGATCTTTTAAATGCAACATATTTGGGTTTTGGACTGTTGTTTGCATAAAGCAAGCAGTTTGTTCCCCTGGGAAGTCATAATGCGCCTTTTAGAATTTTTCAGACAATTAATTGGCTACACAATTAAACTAAGTTTAAATTATCCAGCAAATTAAGTTAAAGCAGTGACTAGTGCCTAGAAAGTCCCTGCTGTGAATGCCAAACTCCCAAATGTTTGTATAGGTGTTGCTGACCGTGGCACTTCAACACTTTGTGTTTTAGACGGGCTTCTCAGCAGCCACCACTAGAACACTGTGTCTGTACTACAAACCCACTGGGGTGCCTGTGCGAGACTATTTAAATGTGAAGTCATGCTCAGTCATCACTCCCCAGATAAATGATGTACGAGAAGAATGTGTCCTTGGTTAAACTGAACATAATGATCTCTCTTTTTTCCTTTCTTGCCATGGATTTTTCTTGACTGATGAAAAGGGGAAATCATTTTGTCAAGAACACTCTACTGAAGAAAGTCATGGTTAAACAAAAAATGAAGTGCACATAGATTTTTTCAGGTTTGTTCTCTGCCTTGGAGTGCAGATGACCTTGTGAACTTGACTTCAAGTTATTCATTCGGTCACAGAGTCTTACATTCAGTTAGTAATCCAGCAGTGTGAGTCATCCAGCTCCTTCTGTCTGCCAACAGGCTCAAGGCCTGCTCCACTGACAGAACAATGAGACAGGATGTTGGCCAGCCCTGCACAGCATTATGTATCACTATTGCATGTTAGTCAGGCTAATTAATACTCCTCTCTCCCCCTCTTTTATTTATTAACATTTCAAAGCAGGGTGCTGTGTTATTGGTATTATTATTATTATTATTATTATTAACAACTTAAGCATTTTTGAAACTTTGAAGACAAGCTATTTCAAAGGCTTCAGCTGCAGATTTACCGTTGAAGTGACTGAATCTGTTTCTGGTCGTCTCTCGCTCTTTGCTTCCTGTACATTTCTGGCAGGTTGTTGAAGCAGGCTAGACTCTCGGGGTGCTTTTAATGGAGTATTATTTTGAGAGCCCATTTGTTTCAGTGGCATGTCCTCAGTTAAACATCAGTAGTCTCAATGGTGATTTCGATTTTAATGTGGGTTTCTTGTGCGATACATTTGATTGTGTGGCTGATGAGGGTAAAATTTATAGCAGACCTGAGTTCAGCTCTAGCGTCAAAGAAAATACCCACACAAATGTCACAGCTGAAAACCAGTCTTTCTTTCTCTCTTTCATATCCAGCTCTTAACAGGTCAGACACACTCGATGACCACGCAGTCTGCCGCCAACAGTCGACACTCCGATGGTTTGCCGACACGTATTGTCACCACTTCAAGAGCGGGAGAATGGAGAGAGGATGAAAGTGCCAGTAGGACGGGTTCCACTGCTGGCAGCCAGGCTGGGGCAGACAGGGGAGGAAGAGGAAGGCGAGAAGACAAGGAAGAGGAAAGAGGGCAGACGCACCCACTGGAAGTCCCCTCTGGTCATCCGTCGAGTTTGGACACCGTCCTGCGGCACATTGTTCAACAGCTGGATATTCTCACGCAGGTCAGTTATTGATAAAGGTCCAAGCTGTCACCTGAGAAGACTAGTAGGGGTGAAATCCCCTAAAAACATCAGGAAAATGAATATGAAGGTGTGGGCGGTGCGCCGACAGCTTGGATTTGAAAGTTAATATTCCTACAAGTTTGAATGTCCATGTCAGTTTACTCGCACAAATCAAAATGCCCCCTAAGCAATATCCAACAATCAGATTTCACTTTCTCATCGAAAAAGACTATTACCCCTTACAGTTTCATAATCAGAGCTGTGCTGCTCAGCATCAAGGTCACAGTCCTAAAAAAACACTGTGTTTTCTGGCTTTGTTCCGCTCTTACTGTATGTTTTGTTTCCAACTTGTATATACACTGCACTTCCACCACAATAACTGCTAAAACAACAGTTGAGACAAAGTGAGGACCTACAACTAGAGGACACAAATTTTTCAGTGACATGTGGTCCTGAGCAGCAGAGCATGCTGGGACATCTGTACAGGGTTGATGTCAAGGCATCACTCTTTGTTTTCTTCATGTAATTAGTGTATGACTGCTTGACAGTGACTGTGTTATGCCCTCTCACCCCACCTTCTCAGACTGTTTCAGTGCTGGAGGAGCGTCTGACCCTGACTGAGGACAAGCTGAAGGAGTGTCTCCTACACCAGTCCCAGATACTTAAGGAGGTGCGAGCATCCGGAGAGAGCCGGAGGATGGAAAGGGACGGGGTGGAGGGATCACCTGTCCATTTCACTTGAGAATGACCTCACCCTCTCTGACTGCAGCACAAACGCACACTGAGCCAGACTGCCTCCAAGACTGCTGTGCGCGCGTGTGTGAATGTACATATTTGTGTGTGATATAAATGTCCACCACGGTGGTCTTTCTCAGGGGTCAGTGGGCTAGTCACAGTTTGGATGGGCGCCAAAGTGAGTGTTTGTGTGTAACACCAAAATGTTTTCTGTGTCCCTCTGCACCTCCTATCCAGCTGTACAGCCAGCAGACATTCCCTTTGTGAGTGTGTGTGTGTGTGTGTGTGTGTGGGTTAATATGGATATTGGATCCAATCTAGACAGCTGCAGCTATGAAAACAGATGGCGCTCCTCTGTTGTAAGACCCGTGTGTGTTTGTGTGCATAAGAACATTTTTCATTGTAATCTGTTTGCATCTTTCCATAATGCCACGTAAAACCAACTTGTGCTACATATTGCCTCAAATACACTTTGTCATGTAAATATAATTTATATTAATAAATACTCTTTTGCACTAATGTTATTAGTAACGTCTGTAGCTCTGTCGAGACAACAGCTTTTGATAAGAACCAGTGTTAACAGCGTCCACAATCTGAACTCGGGTTGTGTAGATGGTTTGAACATAGTGTAATTACACGCTTAATTCTCCAATTTAAGTCCGCAGCTTGTTTTCATAGGTCTTAGAAATAGTCTTTGTTCTCTGAATTTCACTGAGAAATCATCGCTGACAGACCTTTTGAATTGGTAGATTTTAGCGCTCAGCTTAAAATTCAACCATATGGAAACCCGATGCTGGAAATGTTTAAATAATGTGAAAAGCTGGTAATGATAATAAGTGAAAAGATTAGTATCGGGACAGTTACAGTCCCTGTGCTTCATTACATGATGATTAAAAGCAGAACTACAAATCTTTTGCTTGTTTTGTGGTGAAGCTTGTTGGTATGATACGTGTCACAGTGCCTCTTGTCGCCATCAGTGACTGTGAAGTGTTTTGGCGTGCTGTAACCCAGCATAGAGACTAAGCTGTTTATGATTTGCCAGTGGTGGAGGTGTGGTGAGCGATGCGGCCAGGTCGGGAGGAAGCAGTAAAAAAAGCCACACACAGGGGGAGCTCGGTGCTGGCTGCTGTTTGCTCTCTCACATTCTCTGCTTGCTCTCTGGGTTTACTGCTTTCCTTCTGCCTTCATATTTTCCTCTCTCACAGTATCGTGAAGTGTTTTGTCCTGCTGAGACAGGGGTCTGATCCAGCTCACCCAAAGCAGAACGGAGATTGTTGGAGCTGTGGAAAGCCTGGTGTTTCATGCAGCATTAAAATGACAAAATGCATTACTGTGTGAAGTACAAAAACACAGCTATGTCGTTAAAGACTCTACTTGTGATTCTTACGTGGAGTCTTGTGATGATGATTACTACTGGACAAGAACTAGATCTTATTTCCTACTGTTTCCTGAATCAGTTATAATCTGGTCAAATCTGTAATTATGTGTGTCAATCAAGCCCTAATGATTTTAAAAGGTAGATTTGTTTTTTAAATGGATTTTTCAGCATTTTAAGGCTTTTATTACAGAGAGACAACAGGAAAGGGCTGAGAGAACAAGATGCAGCAAAGGTGCCTGCCTGGAATCGAACCCGGGACGCTGCTGCTTTGATGCATTAATCTCTAAGCTCCTAGGTTGAACTGGGGTCAGCTCTTGGTAATGTATTGTAAATTTTTGGTTAACTCTTGCTCTTTGTTTTGTTTAAAATTTCATCTACAATTTCCTGGGAATCATTAATCTGGATGACTGATTATGTCAAACTGAGGCAAAGTAAAAAGTCTGATAAAGTTTGGAAATGAGCTTGACTCAAGTTCCACTTACTGGTGTGTTGCAGAGCTTTGGACCATATTACCCAGTAATATTACTGTTATTTTTGTACTGCGCCGTAGTAAGCAAGCTCTAGAACAAGTGAGGCAGTGTGACTGTAAGACTAAGATTGTTTTGGCAGCTGCAGTTTCCAAGGTCAAGAATGAATTATCAAACTAAAGCTTTAAACCAACATGAACGAAAAGCAAAATGAAAAGTCTGAGCATCTACAGTTCTACCACATCTGAAAGTGGGTGGAGTGGAGATTCTTGCACTAAAATCCGATTATGTCTGTGTCTGCTTTGGTGTTGCAAAACTTTGTCCTTAACCCCACAGCGACTCCTTAAAGATGCAAAGAACTGAACAAAATAACCTCACTTTGCAAAAATGTCCCTTGAAGGCCTCCATTACTGTGGAAACACAAAAACACACAAACATCCCAGTTGCAAAATCCACTGTTTGCAACAGCAGGAGAAAGAGTCAGATGCTGTTAACAACCAATTTCCACCTTCACTTCCACCTCAATCTCTTTAAGTGTACACTGGCCTTGTTTTACAGTGCACACAGCAGGTGTAAACCCTTCTGTGTGTCTTTTTAGTGCGTTGTGAACATGATTCTATAACCTGGTCACAGCTTTTGGAGTTGGGTTTCCTGCTCAGACTGAGGAAGAAGTCGGGGGTATAGACTTGCCACTGTGCAAACACAGGGTCACAGTTGCTGCACTGTGAGCATGTGTTTGTCCTTGGATGTATTAGTCTGTGGATGTATTGATGGAAGGCAGTGTCTGTTAATGTTCGACAGATTGATATTGATTTGTCAAACTGGTATTGACCTTTTCTCAGATATCAGTTAGCCACTGGCCTTCTGCTGATGTGATGAATGTTTATTTAAAAAAAAAGCTAATTTAAGATTTTTACCTGTTTCAGATATATTTGTTTACTTTTTTCTGGCCAAGATTTGAGATTTCTGCAAAGTCTCTTTAATCTGCAGATTACAGTAACAACAGTTTTCACTAAATCTACTCTCTACCAAAGAAAATGAACTCAAACTGTCCACAGTCAAATCTGTCTGTGATGGCCCTTTAACTGTTTGAAACATCCATCCAACCATTATCAAAGAAGAACATTCTGCTTCTGCTTCTTTACAGAAATAGTTCCTTCTGCTTTCAGGAGCTAATAATCAATCAATAACCCCATATGGTGCAGTTTTTGCCTCATATAGCCTGCACAAGGTGGAAGGTAAACATATTCAGCTCCCCAGAAAATAGACAGATCCTCTTCTTCTCCTCCTCTTTCTTGCTGTTTCCTGTCTATCTCTGAAAAACAGGATTATCTTTTTCAGAAATTCCCTCTTAACCCCCTTCAGGGATGAGGCGATAAACGGGGGCCAGGGACAAAAGAGGAGGGAGTGGAAAAAGAGAAGAAGAGGAAGACAACAGGCGAAAAGAGAGGAGAACCCTGCACCCACGCCTATTGAGTTACAGTGAGTCTCACTCTGAACTCAGGATATGGCTTTAACAATAATTGATTGTAGTTTATCTAATGTGCAAACCTATTCACACACACAGTGACACCTGTTCAAATAGGTGGAGAAGGGGACAGGTAAACATTTGGAACCTGCAGTGGCTCCTCTGTTTGACTTTTCCAGAATAATGCCTTCTGTTTGTCAGAAGCATTTAACAACCTGCTTTCGTTGCCTTACTCATAAAAAACAGGTTTATCTTTTTACGTTTAACAGTAAAAGGTCTTACTGCTCACCTGGTAAAATCAAATCAAAAAATGGGGACAAACATGCACAGAATGTGACTTGTGACGTAAACTTTAACAGCTGAAACAGTATTTTATCACTTGCATCTGGAACTGAGTTACTGTGGAAAGAGAAACCAGTGTGTGACTGACATTTCCACCTGTGACCTGTATCCAATATCAAAGCACCTGCCACAAATCATTTACATTCATCACATTTGCTGTAAATGTAAACTGCTGTCACTGATGTTCAGTCCAGACCATAGGTATTTGGACATTTAAACACTTATTGTTCTTCTGGGTCTAAAGTCTTGGCTTTAGACAAACATTTTTGGGATAAACAGCCCTTTCAATGCATAGTAAACAAAAGTTTAGGGGTTTATAAGTACATACGTCAGATACATACACGTGAAATGCAGCACAAGCTTGTCTGAGGTCTTTGACCCGTAGACATCTCCAGATACTGTCTTGCTCTCCCAGGCCTTTGCTAAATCCACCTTCAGCTCCTGCTCCTTGACTAACTCAGCCAATCGAGGATATTCAACCTATTCACCTTGA